TTCGAAAAGCCTTGAATACCGCCTAAAATGACTATAATACCAGTAAAAACGATTTTTTTCAACACAGGAAAGAAAAGAAAAAAAAAGGATACGTAACTTTGTAACTGGCGGTATGATGAGTCGAATGAGATAAATTATTTGCCTTACACTTACGTAGAAAAACTAGATAGGTTTACAAAATCGACCTATACGTGGTGCACTCGACGCGATTAGAAGCGCCACCACCAGTAGGGCCATTGTAGCAGCGTCTCGGTACTCAGTTTTTGATGCTGAATTTGAAAAAATTAGTTTCAGAAGCTGGAAAAAAAAATAAAGTAGAAAATTTTGCACATTTTGAAAAAGATGTGTTTTTCTAAAATAACGATATCTCTCGAGTATTTCGTATTTTTCGACCGGAAGGAAGCATTTACTATGGCTAAAAAGTAGATTTTCGTGCACTAGATAGGTTTACTAAATGCGTCATACTCAGTTGACAGCCGTTGGCTCGGACGTCCATGACGGACCACTGTTCGCCTCTGGAATCAACTGAAAACCCTTTTCTAAATCAGTTTTCAATGCTGATTTAGAAAAATATAGCTCGTACCTTCCATCTTGCAATACAACCTCAAAAGTCAATTCCACCATAGAGGACGGTTTTTTGTATTTTTGAGGTCCTCTTAGTAATTTGAGTTTTTCTCCATGAAGAAATGGCTTTTGAAGGCTCGGAAGGTGTTATTCGTAATCAGCTCGTGAAGCTGAATCTGAATATGTATAATAATGCCAGAAACAAATTCCACTGAAATTTTGCATTACCTGCACCTTACGAAAAAAACTGTTAGTTAGTTTCTTTTCGTTAAGAGATCATCTTCAGTGTGCTCAATATTTTTCTTGGTCTCCTCCCTCTTTTTGTTCTCCACACAAAAACGTCTTTCCCTGCAGTGAATGCAGGTAAAATGTCCTCTCCTGCAGGGAGTGCAGGCAGGAAAACATTCTTCTTTATCTGCCGGTCATCAGTGCAAAAAGTTTTCATTCACCTGCAAATTGCAACCTGCCTGCAGCTTGCAAGCAGTTTAAAATGCAGGTGATCAGCTCTGAGTCATGTTATATGACAGAAATAGTTGGTTAAAACCAAGTCGTATTATATACGTACGCATAAAGGTGGTGGTTATCATCGAAAAAAGAAATTTAGCCAAGGGAAGCCGTCAAAACTCGCATCGGTGAATTTAATCACCGGTAACCGATTGAAAAGAAAATCTATTACCTTTAGGAGTACGTATATAATATGACTTGTTTTTAATCAACTATTTCTGTCATATAACATGCGATCAGAAGGAGAAAAGGTATGATGATTATGCTTTCCAATGCGTCATCTTTCAATACAACATTAGTTGAGCATTCCATATGTCTCAACAGCGGTCGTTATGTGTCAAATTCATCGTGTGAGTGTTTGTCATGTTTTAACGGTAAGTATTGTGAACAAAGCACAAACATATTGGAAATGTCTCGTTATGATGCTGTATGTATGTACATGCCACATGCAAAGTATGTTTATGTCATCTTTCTACAGTTACAAATAGTTATATCCTTAGCCAATAATCTGCTGAGTATTCAAACATTTTTATGTCGAAAGATTCGCTTCACGAATTTAGGTATTTACTTGATCGTATTGTGTTTGAGTAATGTAATTGCGTGTATTCTGCTGGAAATATCGTTCATATTCGCCTTAATAAATACACAATGTGATTGTAATAGTTTTAAATTAGTAATGAATGGATTGAATTATCATTGTTTATGGTTAAGTAGTTTTATTGCTATCGAACGCGTATTAATTCAGTGCTTTAAACTCAGTCTGTACGCATCACGAAAACGAGCGGGAATTATTTCTACATTATTATTCGTCTTTGTTTTCCTCACTCAACTTCCAAGCATTTTGTCAGATACGTTTCCATTAATGAATCCACACCAAAACGCACTCTGTACTGCATCAAAAATAATCGATTTTGGATCCATATTAGTCCCGTGTTTCTTACATTTTGTTTCGAGTTTGTTTGTTTTGAGGAATATCACACAGCGGCGAGAATACTTAAACATAGCCTCGAATTATTGGCATTCGTGGTTCGAACAACTACAAAAACATCGAGATTTTATTATAACACCTATCGCGTATATTATATGTAGTTTACCATGGTTTATATATACAAGGTTTATTTACGATTGCTCACAAACGAACCACATGTTGTCGTTAAGTTTATATTTGGCTTTGGTATTCCTTGCTAGTATACCCTTCACATTCACATTTTTCATCTATATTTCTCTCAACAACGTTTATCTATCAGAATTTTGTAATTCATCATTGATTGGACGCTGTTTTAGTTTGAGCAGAGGAAAACGCAGAAACAGAAAACGATGATTGTACCATCGACACCGTGTATCGAACCTGTGCTTTTGTACTTTTCTCATCGATGCATAATAAAACTGAATACAACAAAATTTTGCAACGATCCGATTTCAGCTAATATTAAACTGATGCATAGATAATATCACAACGGCAAGCATTTTGAACTAAATCTATTATCGATGCAGGGGAAGAACGATTTGGTTAAGGAAAATCTGACATTTCAAATAACATTTGATACAGCTTTTCTGAATTGTTTGTTGATCTTTTCCGGCATGTGAGAGGTAAGGGCACGGAGGTTGGCTGTAAGTGTGTATACAGCAAGCCACACATGTTTGTTGAATGAGGGAAACAAAAAGAGAGAAAATCGAGTGTAGATGTACGCGTTTCACGCTAGCTGGAGATGACCGGCAGCAGTCAAAGAAGAAAATAAAGACATTTGTGGAGAATTATTGAACTAAAATTTTCTTTTGCATCAGAGGAGGCAAAAGAAAAATATTTTTTTATTGCCACATGTTTCTGAAAACCGATTTTTCAGAAAAATCCTGATTATCTCCTGATCTTTTCATTTTTCGATCTCACCAATACGATTTCGGATTCAGCATCGCGAAGCACATCTAGACACTTGTCATTCGATGACTTTTCTTCAAGACTTAAATTCTTGTAGCTGATCAAACACTGATCGCTCGAACCTTGGAGTTCTCACCGCGCAATGCTATCTAGTTTTTTGCCATGAGAGCTAGAGAGTTCTTTCATATGTCAGACGATTCGCCTTGCCTTGCTCCACAAAAGTATGCTTCGTTTTTTTCAAAACGTTTTTCCTTTCAGAAGAAATTAGGAAAGGACTGAGAAAGTGCGAGTTTCTGGTTTTGCAAAAAATCAGAACTCTGAGAAACCTTCAAGAGCCTTTTGGAAATCTTTTTCTTCCCAAGCACATCATATCGACAGAGCGTCAAATTCTGAGCAAAATGAGACATCTTCGAACCTTCTAGAGCATCTCTAGGCTGAGATAAGCCCACTTTACTTTCGGTGATGTGGCTGACTCGAAATCGGTTAAGTGATTTGCCAATGACTCAACCTAGACAGTCGCTGGAAAGCCCGGAAAGGTCTCATTTTGCTTAGAACTTGATGCGCATTCAGATGCAATACCCCATACAGAGTCCGAGACTGATGACGAGCTTCATTGAAAAACCGACTCTCTGGAAATGTCTCAGACCCCTTCGGAATCCCATTATCCTCGTAGGCACTGCTGTTCCTACGGACAACAAGTTGAGTGAGAGTGTTGTTTACTTTCAGTGCTTCTGCTTCACATTCTGCTTTTCATTTAGATTTTTAATGTGGATATTTCTCCTTGTGCAGGAAAAGTGTGCTGTGAATAGTAGGTATGTACCAGTACCAGTACACTGAATACTGGCAATATCGATACTGACACCATTTTGTAGCTGCAAGATTTCTCAGTAACGAAACATCGCAAAAGAGCTCGGGAAACTCTCACATTGAAGCTGACACATGTGACTAGAGGAATCAAAATCACATATAACTTTCACAATTACACTGTTGCATAACGAGTAATTTTTTGAAAGCAATGTGTAGAATATTTAACTCCGGTACAGATAGAAGATCATACCACGACCGGTTTCGATACCTCTTGACATCTGTGACGAAATTTTATACATCCTCAGCTGTTGAGATGTCCTTTGACGTGTGCATAAGAATTTCGTGACACCCTCAGACGTTGAGATATCTGTTGCTTTCTCATCAAGATGTGCATTTCCAGGTATTTTAATAAATTTTTCAAATATTTTAATTGATTGTGAAAGACTTCCGTTCCGTTTAAGAATAATTACCATATTACCATATGCACTTGAAAATTACTCCTCATTATTGTACCAATTTCTTTTCAATAAAGCTTATAATAACAAAAGTATTAGTGGAATTGACACTGTTCCAAAGTGGGTCTAAAATATATCATAGAATCCATAAGGTGTGCAGGCAAAGTGTGCTGTGAATATGTGATGTGACGATGTTCTAATCAAGAGTTATAAGAGTTTTACTGGAAGTCCTGAAACATGCATCAGATATGGGCGCCACATATTACGAAAGTGACTTTCATCTTAACACCATTTTGTAGTGGTCTCGATTTCAGAGACCGATTCAGAAGAAAGCAGACCTTCATGAAAGTAAGTCGAAGCTAATGTTTTCCCCTTTAGCATTTAGCAGCAAAAACATTTTCGAAATTTATTAACCTACATTATCTTCCTGTTTTTTTGTTTGTTGTTGTTTTTGTGAACGAGATTTCTTTTTGTTCTTGCTGGGAACTTTAACCGGAACCATCTCTTCCTCCTTAGGTTCCGATCGTAAAGCAGCAGCACGCGTTGTAACGGGCATTTTTTAATGATTATCTAAAACATCTCGTGACATAAAGGGCTACGTCATAATCGAACATCACTAAATAAAACAATCGTTGAAATTGTTTCATTACAAATTTAAGTTACGCTGTAACTGCCGAAAGTGTGAGAAATGCACTGGCAGAAGTACAGTGGACATTCGACAATTGGCGAAATTCTGTAGGATACATTGGCAAAAGTCATGTGGACTCTCGCCAATAGGCAAAAATCCATAAGGTATGTTGATGAAAGTACGATGGAATTTCGCCATTGGCGAATGGCCAGTTGGCAAAAGTCTTATTGGCGAAGTTCCGATAACCCCTTTTAATTTACCTGTGCTTATAGTTACCTATGGACGAAATGCTGCCAGTCAACCTTATCCTCCCGAGATAACCCACTTTGGTCATAATGCATCTTCTTGGACTGCACCTTTTCGATGGTATTGGCAGCAAGATGACGGACAGTTTAGACCGTATAATGATATCATGAATGAACTACTAGAAAAACTTTATGAACATTGGAAACTACATGACGGACCTGCCGAGATCGAAACTCCACTATTGACTCATTATTTAGATGATATTTCTCAAACGTATAAAATTAATTATCAAAAAAATAGACAAACGAATACCAATACATTTTATCAACGTACCATTAATCGTCGGACAATGAGCAAACCACCAGATAATCAAAATTGGTTTTATTGTAACGAGTATGATAATTGGATGCGTTATGAATTACTCGTGGAGAATAAGATTGACTAACCATTCCAGTTATATCGAGCTGGCCGAGGATCGTCAACTATCGATATTAAGTTTCCTGGACGTTCAGAAACGTATCAGATTAACTTTTTAAAAGGTCAACACACAAACAAAGCTACGATTGCGATCACGAACATTAAACATGAATAAAAACACTTTTAGAGAAAAAATAGACTTCTCTTTTTGTGTAACGATAATATTAATGGAAAAAAAGAGAACTACACAGGGCACTACAAAAGTTTTTTCACCTAGTTCTTCTAGAAGCCGTAGTTTGAGGACATATATTCTATTATAATGCATATACCACGGAACCTTCCTTTTTTTCCAGTTTCCAGGGCAAAAGACGACTATAGTAATGTGTGTGCCGATAATCAGCCTACTGCCATGATATCATTACCTTCTCCCTCCTCTTGTTCTTCCTATCCTTATTATTCTTATTGTCAAAAGAAGTATTAGTAACTATTTTCCAGATGAATAAAACTCTGCTCCTTTGATGAAAACGAAATGGGAGAATTTCTATAGTCCAACATTCGGAATACCCTACTAGGGTATATCCTTCCGTAGGACGTATAGTATACGTCCTACGGAAGGGGACTACTTCATTTCCGTATTCTCTAGATTCTTACAACCAGTTGGGTTTCACGCGTCTTACACCAGTGCTAAACTATTCGTACAGTTTTCAGATTTGAGTAATTAAATATCAGATAAAACTGGTAGATAATAGAACTACATCATTCGAAAAACGGGATGTCCAATCAGATGTAAACTATTATCATTTGTGTTATAACAGACCGATTTGTTGTGAAATATCCAAAAATTTGAACTCATGCATAAAACTTCGTAAAACGTGCCATATTCAGTTGTAGGAATTGTCAACAACATATTTAAAAATACCACATGGTTCTTTATATACAGTTTGCACGTGCACTTTACCTTTTAGGCTACGCAACCCGAGCTACCTGACTGAAAAGCTATTGAAACCTACCAATTAAGCAAGTTAATATTGATGACAAGTAAGACCTACGGAGAAAAAGACCAAAATAGTGTGTGTTGTACAGCCACTCAATCGTTTAGAAGGTCACTTTTACAACCATGGAATATTTCCAAAAATGCAAAGCGGAGTTGAAAATAAAAATTCGAAAATTCGACTCCAATTCCACCAAAAAAAATTCTCAGCTCCAGAGCTGGAGTTGCCCAGCTGTAGATAAATATATAAAAGTTCTCCAGAATTTTATAAAAACTAAAAAGTGACCATCGATTTTTCGTAAAAACACTATTGATTTATTCATTTTCTTCAGGTACCTTGACAATTTTAGAGAAATTAGGAAAAAATCACGATTTTATAGTTGTTTTTTTTCTGAAATCGCGGTTTTCCTAATATTTTATCCAGGTATCAAATGACTATTGGGATAATACGGTTAGAGCGAAACGGAGACCTACGATATCCGTTTTGTCACAAAATAAAAATCTACTCCAGTCTAACTCTTTGTGGCTTAGATATTTATAACCATATCTTGTTTTATATTGAAAGAATTTACATAGTCATAATCAAAACTTTCTCTACCGAATACGTTCCTTAGATATTTATTATTCTGTTTGTGTAATCTTTGTCTACTGTCAATAAAAACTCAGATCTTCCTTGTGTACTATGTTGAAGGTGTAACAGTTGCATTGTGACATGCGTATGTTTCTGGAGCCACTTTTCAATTTTTCAACAGTATTTTGATGGTTGAAAATTTTTGCCTAATACTGGCGAGAAACCGGCTAATAAAAAAGTACACTGTTGAATTCCTCTAGAGACAAGATTGAATAAAGCAAAGAATTTTCATCGGCTTGGCTTAAAACTGGAAAAAACTGAGCATTTTTTAGGCTGTCTAGGAACAAAAAGGTCATTCTGTTCCAGCCGAGTCCACTGTACGCTGCGTCTTTTATAGGGCCTAAGGCAACCAGTTGCATTGGCAGGAACCTTGGTCAAAGCAGTAGTACTGGCCTACAAACCAAACTGTGACATACTTTCCCGCACTAAGTTCCACTGTTTTCAATTCAAATAAAAAGTTGTGCAAGTTAAGGAAAATAGGCTTTGATAGATACTAAATGAGGACCCTTTAACAGTCAATATTGCTTGACATGATGCTGATACGCTCGTTACTTCAAGTTTTTTGACGGAATTTGTAGAAACAGTTTTCCACAGCCGCAGAATAAACCTGTCTCTTTGCTCTGCAAGGTAGCAGTCTTCGTATACCTATTACATACAATTGTCAAAAACAAAGTTCCCTACTTGACTGCAAAAGAACGTAGAGAAAATCTTGTTCCTTCATGGAACATAAATAAATCTAGGATGCTAAAAGAGGAATAAGAAAGATGTTTGATTAGAAAAGGCAGAATATTGTGGGGCGTGTGCTTACCTTGTCTAACAATAACTGTGTTCTTTCACCAACAATAACTCTTCTTTCTTCTTCTTCATATTGTTCTCCAGTTAAATTTCTTCGTGGTCTATTTTCGTAATTTAATAACAGTTTTAACACCAAAACAAGTATAAGTGTACAAGACATAATACCGATTATTTACATTTTGTAGAACAATGAGTCAAAATCTACTGAGAATTTTAACATAGATATGGATGATGAGTAGGATCAATTTCAATATCAAATTTTAGGTGTTGTCGTTCTTTAATCTCCATTACATTATCTGATTTCGTCTTTTTTCTGTTTTAGAGTCTCACTGATCTGTTGACGAATCATTATTCTTCTGCCCTGGTCTCTTTTCGCCAGTTTCACAAATCACTTCTACACTTCTGCTACAATTGTCATCTTGAAGACTTGAATGTTACAAAACTCTTAAAATTAATTTCATCTGCTTTACCTACTCCTCACAAATTAGTAACAACCCATTCAAAACTAGTCAATATGTTCATTAAAGTTGTGTTTAATTGTATATTAATTTATTTATGGCACTAACATCAACACAAAAGAAAAGATTTACTCATGTACTAACTTTCTCTTACTAAAAAGTCTGCTTATAATCATAGATAGAAACATCTCCTTCGAAATTTTACAAGCTTCTATTTGTGATCATGATACCTACGAAAGTGATATAATTTTACAAGAACTTTCAAAGATTTTCAACAAAAGATTCCTTAAAGAAAATATAAGAAACGAATCTTTAAAGAAAAACAATCTGATAAATTCTTGAAGGTTACATGTTTTCTGAAAGAATCAATCAGATTTTTTTTCTTTGTAAAAGCTTGAAACGAAAAATCATAGACAAAGAATCCTTCAAGACCTTATAAGATACAAGAATTCTTAAAGAATAATTTAAAGAACATCGACTAGTGTATGCAGGATTGCTCCATAGATAAAACAATGGAATTGCACTATTTAGAGAGTGTTCATTTCGTTGAAGTTCAAAATGTTGAAGTTCAAACAAAACGTTAAAAGCATTTTGAAGAACATCTACGTGAATTGTGTTTCAATTAATCTTATACATTGATCAAGACCATTTTCTTTAGCCATCAATTCACCAATTTTTTTAGCATTTGTTTGATACTCATCAGTATTAAGAAGATCTCGCATCGCATTTGTCAAATTTTTGACATTTATTTGTCGAATAGGAATTGGCTTTGGCCCTAATTTATTGATAAATACTCTATCACCATTGAATGGTTGATCAGCACCAAATGGTAATATTAATGTTGGTAATCCAAATCTTAAACTTGTATGTGTTGTACCAGCACCACCGTGATGTATAGCAGCTGTTAATTGCGGAAATAACCATGCATGTGGAATATTTGTTTTCAAATAAAATATATTATTATTGTCATTATTAGTTAAAAATAAATCTTTAGCTTTAATTCCAGATAAAGAGACAATAGCTTTGCAATTATTATTATTGAACACGGCAGTTTGAACAACAGTCAAAAATTCGAATTGCTCTTTTTCTCCAAACATCATATGTAACATTGATCCAACACCAATGTATAATAGTTTCTTTTCTTTTTCGTTTATTTCCAAAAATTCAATAATATCTTCAGAAGGCTTAAAGTCAATGGGAAAACTTTGATTAATGATAGGACCAACCATGTGATTATTTTCAGGCCAATCTAAAGGACGAGAAATCAAATGTTTAGAATAAATAGCCGCAGTTGCAAGATTTGATACGAAATTATGATAATAATCAAGTAATTTAATTGTTGGAAGATTAATCGAAGTACGAAGTTGATTGATTTTATCACTGTACATAGATGATAAAACATAATTAGACATTTTCCATTTCAATGAATTGATCCACTGGAATAAACTTTCACTTTTTCCATTTAACATAGGGGGAGCAAATTCATTTGTTGCTGTAAAAGGATAGGGATAGATTGCAATCGCTTTTAAACCAGGATGTTTCTCAATGGCACTCATGCCTAGAATGATAGAAGTAATTGATAACACAATTAAATCAGCATCCTTTATATTAGTCTCGATTTCATTAAACCATGTCTCCATCAGTGGCAAAAATATGCTTTTAATTAAGCTCAGTTTAAAAACACTAGGATTTCGTCGAAGTTCAATGCCTTCGGGTGTTGACGACATAATAATGTCCATATCGCCATCTATCTCAACTGTATCGACACCTAAAACAAAAAAATAAATGGCTCGATTGTACAAACACAAGAAAAATATTAACTATACGCCTACATTGGAAAAGAAAAAAGCATTTATACAAAATAGTGACGATTTTCAAAAATTCCATACAGTAAACACTCTAGGATTTTTGCAAAATTCCGTTTTTGGTGTTCTTGAAAAGCGTTTGCCATTTTTTTATAAATAAGAAGTAACGTTCATTTACGATTCATTTGAACCCTGACTAAAATGACATATTTAAACATTAATGCCTAACTCTATAACAACAGACCATTTCACAGAATGAAAGAAGTATTAATACATGAAAACACATCCTTAAAACAGAGACTAACCGAGCGACTGCACTGTAGATATTTACTTTTTCTTTCTATCATCCAAAATTGAAATTTACACGATAGATGTATAACGAAACGACTAGAATAGAAACTATAAACAGTGCGTGCACGAGTACCTTTAAAAAGATTTTGGGTATGAATAATTTAACATTTTCATATTGATTGCAGCGCTATCTATCGATACTCGTACCCCACATAGTCGATTACTTAAATGGGTACTCATTTTCATTTCATGTCAGTTAAAACGAAGTTTCCACCAAGAGGATCGCTCCTAGATGTCACTTTTTGTTATGTTCGGATTCGCCTAGTCGATTACCTTTATACTGAAGATTTCATAGTGCTTCGCCTCATACTCTGGACTTCATTTGTGTTTTTTCATTTTCACCGGTCGGACACGGACGCTGACATTAATTTTGCGTGATTATTTACTTTCAATTAAGGAAATAATAAAACTATGAACTTTACAACAAATAATATATAAACACCTTTATTTGAGAGATTTCCAAGAATACGAAGAATTCTAGAGTGCTGTCATAATGCGCATGCAACTTGTATCGCTATTCTTTCGCACTTTCTTAATCTCGATAATTATGTGAATCAAAACCGGTAGCGTAATTTACCAGATCGACCACTATCCCAATACATAAAATATAACATTTCCATGCATAGTATAGAATACATAATACGCAGGGTGAAATTATCCCAGTTTCTATCAATTGTGGAAATTATGCAACGCGTGAGAATTTTGAGAATTATGTAGCACATTGGAGTTTTGAGAATTATGAGAATTTTGAGAATTTTGAGAATTATGTAATGCATTGGAGTTTTGAGAATTATGTAGCACATTGGAGTTTCGAAAAATCAATTGCATTTCCTGAAGAAACGAGTCATACTCAACGAAGAGAACTGTGTGAGTTCGGACGTTCTCTTATCATCTATGTCCTCGCAATAACGTATTTTCTGTGGTCTCTAAACTTTTTAATATCAGATGAAAACTGCGTAGAAAGTCAAATTTCTGTCTTGACTCTCATTACCAGGAGAACTTTTTGGGTTCTTATAACACAAGACAAAATCAAACAACTCCCACCTCATCCTCTGAGGTGTGATCTAATTTTCCAACTACGTTTTACAAAACTCAGATACGACTTTCGAAGTCATGTGCCCTACAAAATTTGAATCCAAGTCACTTCTTTGCCCTGGAGAAAACCTAAAGTCCTTCCTATCCCAGTTCGCAAATCACACGGAACGGCATTCTAAAATTAAATGGATAACTGTCATGTACATCAGCCAACACCAAATACTGGGCTAATATTCTCTCGTAACTCACTCTCACGTTATCAGCCCCCCCCGCCACCTCCCTCCCGCACAAAACTCTCAGAACTCTCAAGTCAAAATTTAAAAAACTCTAATGCGTTACATAATTCCCATAATTCTTAAAACTCCAATACGTTACATAATTCTCAAAATTCGGATACCATATTCACGTCCTGATGATGGCGCTATATGTTGGCCGTCAAACGGCTTGAAAGCTGGCCGTATAGGAGATATATGTGATATGCACCATATGCGTTCTATTTTTCTCTCATTTTCTCTCTACCATAAGAAATAGATTTTTTTCTATCGGCATTGACAGAATGCAGAATATATATATATATATATATACGCGTGTTTCATGCACTATAGACATATATATATATATATAGTATATATCTAGAAAAGATCACTCTGAACGAAATAAGTGAATGTCTTTCTAAAGAACATCTTGCTCTCTGTGTGAAAGAGATATTTTTCAACTCTGTGTAAAAAACTCTTCTCTTGGCTGTACGTCACTCGAATAACAAAATGATTGCCAGAGAAGAGAAGCAGATGTGCGATTTTCTGATTCCATCGTTTCAACGTATATTAGAGTAAAACTACTTTCTTCTGATATCTCTTCTATCTGGTACGATCAAGAGAGCTCACCCGCTTTACTCTCTTTATTCTTTGCACTCTTTTACTTCACTGCATTCAAAATCGACCACAACAAGACGTTTTGCAAAAGAGAAAAAGTGTAATTCAATATCTTTCTCCAGGTAGTCTATATTTCCTTCTTCTGACTCTATTTTTCGATATCTACCGAAGGACTTTTTCGCGCAACGTTTTTCTTCATAACACATCAACAAGGAGACATTCGATTTAGATGTCTGAATCCTGAATAGGACTAGTTGGTTTAAACGTTTTTTAGTTCTTAGAAGAACTGTTGGGTTTAATATATCTTGACTAATGGTTCATCGAAGATTGTAAGGAACGAGCAAATGTAAAACCAATAGTGAAGAAGATAAACTGACTTGATAGGAATAATGCCGTTCAATAGCTTATAATTTTTTATTCTTCCCATCATTCTTTCTACATGTATTCGATGACGAGCGATGATTCTTGTTTCTATCACCCGGCAAGGTGATAGTTGTCTTGCTTTGTTCTCCATGAACGGAGGATGGATTAACGTTACATGATTATTGTTTTTCTCTAAGCTGAACCCTCGATCTGACATAACGATATCACCATTTTGTAATAAGTTCATTAATGCTGATGGATCATCACGCTGATTTAATAAGGCCTTATCAGAGACCGCTCCACCATACAAAAAGAAAATAAATGACACTACACCATTAGGAGTTATTCCTACCAAACCTAGATACGAAAAAGCACGTGAGAAATAAAAAATGTTTTAAACGGGAATACCTTTAGCCGTATTTGTATTGTTGTAATTTGACCACGTGTCCTGTTGAGCTTGTGGGTTTGACGATTGTTCCAGTTCGAACTCGGTACAATCGACGATTACGCGAACTTGCGGGTAATTTTTTTTCATCTCAAATGGCATCAGGCGTTGGATTTGCTCTTTTGTTGGCCATATCGGGATCGATTGTACAACACCATACACAAATCTTGTCCAACTGATTATTATTCTTGATACTGTTGCTTGTGAGATGTTAAATAATGCACTCTAAATAAAAAAAATAAAAATCATATGAAAAAACAAAAGAGTTTTCTTACAATTACTTCCTAACAGACGTCTCTACTATCGTCTTCTATACTTTCATAAAATATTCTATAATAAAAGTCCTCTCTCATCGTTTGATTTGATCTCACCGCTAACTACGCGTCAAAGTTCTCGATTAGGTCATAATAACAGCGTTTTCATTCCTCGTCTAAAACTAAAATCTGCATCCGGCTCTTTCGTTCCACGTGGCTCAAAGGAATGGAATGAACTTCCTTCGGTTTTAGCATGTCAGTCTTCTTTATCTGTATTTAAACGTGTGTTAAGAGGTCAAGATGGGAAGCTGCCCACCGCATAGCTCATTTCAGTACGAAAGTTCCATCCCCATTTCCAAGCGGAACGCTCACCGCGTCGTCGAACTGATTAGCCACTGCCAAATCCAGATTGCTATCATTGTTGAAATCACCTGAAATTACACAAGATGGGAAGCTACCAACCGTATAGCTGGTTTGACTGTGAAAGATTCCATGCCCTTTCCCAAGCAGCACACTGACGGTATTGTCGTACTGATTAGCCACTGCCAAATCCAGGTTGCTATCATTATTAAAATCACCTGGTATTACAGAATATGGAGTATTACCAACCAGATAGCTCGTTTGAGTCTGAAAGCTTCCATCCCCTTTTCCAAGCAGCATACTGACAGTGTTGTCGTTCGAGTTAGCTACTGCGAGATCGAGGTTGTTATCATTGTTGAAATCACCTGATGTTACAGAAGATGGGCTTCCCCCAACCGTATAGTTGCTTTCAGTCTGAAAGGTTCCATCCCCTTTTCCAAGCAGCATACTGACAGTGTTGTCGTTCGAGCTAGCTACTGCGAGATCGAGGTTGTTATCATTGTTAAAATCACCTGATGTTACAGAGAATGGAAAGTTACCAACGGCATAGCTCATTTGAGTCCGAAAAGTTCCACCCCCTTTTCCAAGCAGCATACTGACAGTGTTGTCGAACACGTTAGCCACTGCCACATCTAGGGTGTTATCGTTGGTGAAATCACCTACTATTGCAGAATACGGATTCCTACCAACCGTATACATCATTTGAGTGTGCAAATTTCCATTCTGGGTGCCAAACAGCACACTGACAGTGTTGTCGTACTGGTTAGCCACTGCCAGATCCAGATTGTTATCATTGTTGAAATCACCTGATGTTACAGAAGATGGGCCTCCCCCAACCGTAGAGTTGGTTTGAGTCTGAAAGGTTCCATCGCCTTTTCCAAGCAGCATACTGACAGTATTGTCGTACAAGTTAGCCACTGCCAGATCGAGTTTTATATCGTTGTTCAAATCACCCGATATTACGGAAGATGGAGCACTACCAACCGTAGATATTATTTGAGTCCGAAAGCTTCCATCCCGTTTGCCAAGCAGCACACTGACAGTGTTGTCGTACTGGTTAGCCACTGCCAGGTCCCGGTAGTTATCGTTGTTGAAATCACCTGATATTGCAGAAGATGGGAAGCTACCAACCGTAGATATCATTTGAGTTTGAAAGATTCCATTCCCGTTGCCAAAAAGCACACTGACAGTGTTGTCGTACCGGTTGGTCACTGCCAGATCGAGGTTGTTATCATTATTGAAATAATCTGTTGTTACAGAAGATGGGCCTCCCCCAACCATATAGTTCATGTGATTCTGAAAGGTTCCATTCCCGTTGCCAAGAAGCACACTGACGGTGTTGTCGTACTGGTTAGCCACTGCCAGATCCAGGTTGTTATCATAGTCGAAATCAGCTGATGTTACAGAAGATGGGCCTCCCCCAACCGTACAGTTCATGTGATTCTGAAAGGTTCCATCCCCGTTGCCAAGCAGCACACTGACACTGTTGTCATACTGGTTGGCCACTACCAGATCCGGTTTGTTATCATTGTTGAAATCACCTGATACTACAGAAGATGGGAAGCTGCCAACCGTATAGGTTATATGAGTTTGAAAGTTTCCATTCCCTGTGCCAAG